AAAAAAAAATCAAGCTCAGATGCAATAAAACCGGAGATGAGAGTGAGATTTTCAATTTGGAAGCGTGTGGAGCGTTGAAAGCTCAGCGTTGGATTAGTCATTCAGAGCCATGTTGGACTGCAGCGAGGCTTCTCCCCGAGGAGGGGAAACTGAATCATCCCGAATAATGCCCTCTCCCTAATAGATTCTTTAATAGATTTTCTAATAAAACCGATCCTAAAGGGAATCTGTTCACTCAGTGCACTCATTTGCATCGTGCCATTGGACCGTGACGTCACGCGTGTGCATGTTTTTGCGAGGGAGAGTTTACTGGAGTTCTCAACTTCTCTGAACCACTGTATTACACAGTACACCGAGTACCAGTACTGCAGTGCTACTATCGGGAATGCAATTTATTTTACGATGTAGGAAATCAAGTATCTACTTAAAATCACATTTATAGAAATAATTTACATTAAAATAAGGACGTGAGCTGCTGGCTTCACTTATTGGAAGCTGTCAAAGTACACGATAATAAAAGTTTCAGAGGATGGTTTCTGGCATCGTAGGTATTTCTAGTGTTTTTAATGAGTTCTGTGATGATACAGAAACATCTTGATTCCACATCACATCATCCAAATGACGTCTGAAGCACAAGATGGTGGCACCTGTATCCTAGAAGGTTTAGCTTCATTTATACGCAACGTGAGGAAGTGGAGAGGCGTCGTCCGTTTTTATAATCATGAGCTCACAGAGAGGCAGGTGGGACTGAGCTCGGCCGGGACGCACGGTTCAAAGTCTGGTCAAGTTCTGCACTCAAGCATTCGGAGCAGAGTGGCTCTGTCCTGCTTGAACCTGGAGAACTTCTCTCCTCGTTCTGTGTGAGTTTTGACGGACTGGTGATGGGACATTATATTTTCACACTTGCAGTATCTGCAATGGGGTCCAGGAAGAAGAGATGAAATACGAAAGCAGCAGTTTCCACATGTTTGAGTTGAGCAGAATACTGAAAGCCTGAAAGAGAAAAACTCTAAATTTTAGATTCACGATCGAAACTTCAGCTACAATCAGAACTTTAAGCAGCCTACTACACTGGAAGATCTCATGAATTAACTTCAGAACAATCCTGCATCCCTTCTCTGTTCGGCTTTAAGGATAAAGAGAGATATTGGAGGGGTTCTGATGCTCCTCTAGTTCTGTTGGAGGCAGCTGAGCTTTTATCAGGAAGCCTCCAGGATGAACTCATCCAACTGGGAGGACGTCACGGGGGCCGAGCAGATCCAGGGATTTCATATCCCATCTGGCCTGAGACTGCGTGGGATTCCCCAGAAGCAGCTGGACAGTTGGAGAAACAGGCCTGTGGGCGACTCCGCGCCGGGTGAGTGGCAGAAAAAAAACCAGAAAGATTTCCAGGCGGCTGCACTTTCTATGTGTCAGCACGGGGCTGTGATGTGTGCAACCACAGGGTGAGTCTGTTATCACCTGCTGGTCGATTCCCACCGCGTCCAGGCCGTGGTACATGATGTTAACCCACCCGTCTTTGGAGGCCAGCACAAAGAGGGACATCAGAGCCTGGAGAGGAAACACACGCACACAACTTTACTTCCGTCCAAGGTGGATGAATTTACTGATTATTGGTTAATAACTGCAGAACTGATTTCCACAAGACTTGGTGGAAGGACAGGGACAACGGCCCGGGGAGAGCTCATCGAATGTTGGTGCAGATCATCACAGATTTTATCAATATCGCACATTAAGATGTTATTTTGACATTTTCATCAATTTCCCAGGAAAATTAATTCACGGATCTTGATGAAAAACATGAAAAACACAGTTTGTGTTTCAGGGACTGAAATCTTCGTCTTTTATATCAGTCGATCACTTTTTTGTGTTTGTTAATAAATTGGAAAATGCAGTTTTGTTCTTTGTCTAATTGTTCCAAACAAACCACTTAACTAAAACTAAGTTTACTTAACTATCTGCTGCACATCAACTTAGTTATCACCTCCACCACGAAGGTTATGTTGTCACCTCTGTCAGGTGAATCTGATGTCTTTGAGTGCGTGAAGTTTATGAGCACGGTTGTTTGTGCATACATCCAGAATAAGCACGTTCCAAACAATCTAAAAGTGTCAGTGCTGTCTCCTTCTCTTTCTTGTACCTGTCCGAGGTTGTCAAAGTTGTATTTGTGGTGGATCCATCGATAGTTGGAAGCCAGACAGTCGGATTTGTTAGTGATGTTCTTCACGTCGAAACCCACGCAGTAGTAGAACTTCCCTTTGAAGAGCTTGGAAGTAAAACACACAGCGAGAGGAAAATGAGAGGCAGGAGCACACAGAGACACAGTTTGATGAGGCCGTGACAACACTCGTGCGCGGCCACTTCTCACGGCGTTTTGAAGTGATTGCATAATTAGCGTCAGTAACCAGTGTGTGAAGCCTGAGTGAAAACTCCAGAAAAAAGCTCTTGATATCAACAGTTTGAATTCCCTCATGAGAAAAATGTGTTTTTAATTTTAAAGCACATCAGAGACAGGAGTGAGTAAACGAATGCATGACAGCGCACGCAGGCAGAATAATAACGTGAGGGGATGTGAGGGAGAAGAGGGAGGGATCCACAACCAGACGCTAAAGAATATGTGCTGCCGCGCTAATTAAATACAAGAGTTAAAAAACCAAGTGAGCTCTATGAGAACAGGCAATAGAATGACAAATATAAAATAGTGGATATATCTGTGGTTCAATGAGGCTCGTGAGGAGAGATTTAAATTCTTATTTTAATTTGTTCAAATACAATAATAGTACGAATTGACCGACTATAGACGTTGATGTTACCGTTGTCAAAGAGGTTTTGTTTTTATCACTGTTTGTTTGCAGGATTAAGCAAAAACTTCAGAACCTTTTTTTTACTAAACTTAATGGAAGGAAAGTTTTTTTGTTTTGTCTGCAGATTGGATTTAAGGAGCAGATCCAGGATTTTAAACCATAATGTTCTAATCCTCTGGCTTCTTCCTTTTAACTGAATATTTACAGCTGGTGTTTAATGGATGCATCTGATCTCAATACATGTAAAAACAATATATTCATAAAGGAGGTTTTCTCAGGTCGACCTCCATCTGAGACCCGTAAGTGAAAACATGAGCACAACACATTTGTCTGTAAAGGATTGAAGAGGTTTGTTTTGGTAGAAAAATGCCGACACCTGTTACGTCTCGGCTTGTTTTTCCTTTGCGCCTCTTCCTGTTGGATCCTGCTCTAATTACCCTCCTCGTCCTCGCTGTGACAGTGTGAGTTTGTCCTGGGTTCAACCAGGGCCACGCAGCCTCACTTCATGTTCACTGTTACAGATTAATCACGTCTAATCTTCCTTTTTGTGTTTTTACCTTCTGCTTTAAACTGAATATTTTGACCCACTTCGATTCTCATGTCGAGGAAAACGTAACAGGGCCGTGGTGAGCATGGGGGTCACTGTGTTAGGTCACGTTACGTCTGAGACAGTTTGACCGTCGCAGGCCCAATTAAAGTTGCTGCAGCGAGAGGTCATAAATTGTTCAAGGCTTTGTGAGATTCTACGATTAATAAGAAAGAGAAAGTTAAAAAAAAAAAAAAACAGCACACAAATCCATATTTGATGATGTTTACCTGAACGCCGAGGATGCCGAAGATGATGAAGAAGGCGCAGCAGATGAGGACGATGTTGCCGATGGGTTTGAGGGACGTGATGAGGGTCTCAACGACCAGCTTCAGGCCTGGGGCCCGGCTGATCACCCTGAAGGACGGAGGGAGACACAAACATTAAGATTTTAAAATCGAAATATTACAAATTCAACCTCTGTCGACACATTTAAAAAAAACCAACTATTATTTTAGGGATCATTATTCTATGACTAAGGCGGGGGGGGTTTGTCCTGCCCACCTGAGGGGACGCAGTGTCCTGAGCAGCCTGAGGACGCGCAGCACGCCGAGAATCTTGGCGCCACCCGCCATGGACACCACGATGTCAATCAAAGAGACGAAGACCAGGAAACCGTCAAGAATGTTCCAGCTGCTCCTGAGATAGGCCGACTCCCCCAGGTACAGACCCATGGACACCACCTGGAAAGATGAAGGGAGAAAGAGAGAAAGAGAGAGAGAGAGAGAGACGCTGGTGATGCAACAGATGCACATGAACGCACAGGCTTTGATATTCAGATTTCTTTAGCTCCTCAAACAGGTATTTCAGGGGAAGAGACGAGATTTGGAACAAAGATGTAAGTCAGAAAATATGGGAGGAGGAGGGGAGGAGGAGGAAGAGGAGGAGGGGAGTGTTAAATCCAAACCCTGTTGCATTTCCAGGGAGATGAAAGTATGGAGGGAGGAGAAGAAAGACAAGCAACAGCTGCTTTATCCCAATATTAGAAAGTGAACGTTTAAAAAGGAGAAGGAACAGACAAGGAGAGGGATGAAGGAAGCGAAGGGAAGAGGGCTAGGAAAAAGGCGATTAAAAGAAAAGCCATTCACACGGTTCGGTGGAAATCTATAACCGCAGAAAAGTCTACGTTCAGATTATGACTCTTGGATTCAGCAGCGATGGATTCTCAGTCGTCTGGGTTTTATTCTGCTCAGATTGAGGTTCAGAATTTCAAGTGGTTTTATTACCTGAATATCTTTAATCTCTAATGTTCAGAAAACATCACTTTCCCTCAAACTGTCCACTGCTACAGCTCCTCTATTCAGCCTCTGTCTCACAAACAAAAAACACATTAGAGGAAAGAAACACTGATCCAAAACATGAAAAACTCCTGTGATCTCAACACTTCTACGTCATTGATCCACGCGCTTTGTTTTCCAAAACAACACCATCGTCATTTCTGTGCAGAATATTCTGCAGCAAGTAGAGCTGATGAACGTTGACATGTTGAAACTTGAATGAGAAGTTTCTGGTCTCCGCTGGAAACCGGCGTCGACTACAGCGGACGAATGTTAAAGAGGCGACTTCCAAGAATCGTGCGGTGATTATTTCACACTCAGTAGATTCTCAGCTTCCTTTACTCAACTGAAGGTTGATAGTTAGTGGTTTATACCAACTGATAATCTTTTGAGTCATTAACCTGCGATATTATATCAGCATTAAAATAATTTTGTTTCCTTACAAAGCCATTCTAACTCAGGCAGCACTTTCCAGAAATATATCCCACATGGGAACAAACAGCGTGAGTGTCGCCACGGTAACTCAAAGTGAGCGACGGTGGCAGCAGCAGCGTCGGCGGTGGCGGGAAATGATAACAGATACAATCACACCAGCCGCTGTCGCCGAGCGCTAACTCCGAAAGAAGTCACGTCCGTCCCGAGCGTCGGTGGGTGAAAAGAGGATGAACGAAACAGGATGAATGAGTTCTACACAATCTTTCCACGTTTTGTTTTGACAGGCGCCAAAAAAACGTTCACTGTGAGAATCATCCGTCCCTGCCGGCGAGTCACCGTCAAAATTCCACCAGATAAAGTCTTTTGTCATGTTTCGACAGGCTCGATGCTTCTGTTGGTTATTAATAGCCCCCGGCTGCACCGAAGCCCCTGTGGGACTGTGTGAATGCCGTGAGGCCTCCATTAAGCAGATCAAATATCACCGTGATAAAACATGATGCATGGGAAATCTATAGCGGGTCGATGCCAGCGCTATTATCAAAGCCAGCTCTGCCGCCCTCACACCGCCGGCCGTCCTTTGGCCGACAGGGCGAGCACGTCACATTTAATTCTAATTTAAATTCAACTCTAACACCATCTGCAATTTCACTGAGCAGAAAATGTGGCAATGATTGCTCTTGTCGCTTCAGAGTTGTTTTTCTAATCTGATGTTTGAGACTTTGTGACGCTGTACATGTGGTTAAAAAATGACCAGAATGCATCTGGGTAACTGTCCTCTGCTTTAGTTTCATTCTTTGCTTTATAATTATACATATTAAGTGAAAGTTTGACGTTAAAAACATCAATTTAAAGCAGTGTTTGTGAATGATAAATATATATATATGTATTGTCGTGAGCTCTAAAAGTTGTAATAGTGCGAGGTTGTGTTTGTATCAGTGTGTGTTTAGGTCATCAGGTCGTAGACCCGGCCCTCTCCATGTTAGCTAACGGGACATGAACTCAGCTAAAATGTCAAAGTAGATGTCAAATACATTTTTCTCAAAATCTGGTTTCAGTCAGTCGTGCCCAAATTCCAAACAAATCGCGAAATACATGTCGAGGCAGATTTGATGAAAGATTCTCGAGATGTCACGGTCTGTGGTCTGGATGCGTGAATGTGTGTGTGAGAGAGAGACAGAAAGAGGCGGAGTGGAAAACAGCTCGACACGCCGCTCCCTGTTTCTAATTAGACTCTCGTGTTCAAGGCTGGACGCTCTGTGTGCAGGTAACACTGATCGATACTGGGGGACACACTTGGCACTTAAGCCCAGTTAACTGGGCACGGTTTGTCCAACATGGGGACAAAAGCCTTGTCCTAAATTGAGAATACACAGATTTTTGTATAAGTATTTAAGGTTAGAACAAAACATCCGGGATTTAAATGCAAGTCTTCGAAATGTCCCCAGAAGTGACCTTTGATAACGTGTGTGTGTGTGTGTGTGTGGACAGGAGATGAGGACAGGACGTCGGTGTGATGGAGTGTTTCTCGGAGAGGAAACTCTGTTTAATTATTGCGGTTGTTTAATTAGTGCTCCTCGGAGAGAGAACACGCTGACCAGCAGCAACCAGAGGAGAGAGAGGGGAGGGAGGGAGGGAGGGAGGGAGGGAGGGAGGGAGAGTGAGACGCAGAATGGCGAAGAATCCAGTGAGAGGAAAATAATGATGTAATGGTTTTGTACAATGAGAAAATCCAGGAGATGATAATCATAACTGTCCTGCAATGATTTGTCGTTCAATAAAAAACGCAAATAATTAAAAGAAAATTATCAATACCAGTTAAGAAATGAGGATTCATACAGAGAGCACTTCTCTTTGTTCCCAACACACAGCTCACATGGGAATTTATGAGGCTGCTATCGGTAATTAATGATTTTATGACAATAATCTGTGATTCATGTTGTGACGACTCGGTTCATGTCATCAAACTGAGTCTTTTGTTCTTGTTTTTACTGAGAGACGCCAACATGTTGTACTTTTAAGAACAAGAACAAGGTTTAATATTGTTTTTGGATATTGCATTTATCATTGATGATCGCCCAGTGGATTATTTTCTGTTTATAATAATCAGGTTTCAGATAAATATATGCTAACTTGTGTCAATTGAGAATCTCATCACCAAGTTCATTCCTCCGATTTCAAACCCTCAGTAGATAAATCTTATGAATCCACTGGAACTCACTGGTCCTCGTCCATGAGTTACATATACAGTGAGTAATGAGACGTATGATGTTGACCCTCACAATCTGCGACTGCTCATTGCGCGTTAGCGGCAGAATGTATCACGTCTGCGCCTGGAAAACTGGCGCAATACCCCGAGTACATTTGGCCCAGTAAGTGATACTGACATCATATGACTCATGAATAATATGAATATAAATGTGTGTGTTTTTCTACGTGGATCTCCACTGGTCGGTTTTAAATAATCAACATGAGGTCATTGCAGTGGCTGCGGGGATATGAATATGAATATTTAATATCTATGTTATGGCTCTCAGAGTAAATGCCGTCACAAGTATATGAAGACAAATGAGTGTGTAAGTGTTTCATTCACCCACTCCTCCAAGTTCAAGTGAATGTGAAAGTATTAAATGAGAGATTTTAATCCGATGCACTTTTTGTGAAATTCTGCAAATACCTCCTCCCTGAGTTAAACGAGCTTCACACCCTGAACGACACAACACTGGTCCAGCCGAAGGTCCCAAAAGCCAAAACAGCGATTTCCTTGACGACATTCATAAACTGTATAAACTAAAGTTATTTTAATCTTTTCAACCCTCTTTCTTTGAGCAATTTATAAATAAAACAGGTGGAAACATCACCTGTTGCATCTCAAACAAGATAATAACTCCTCTGGGACGGTACACCCACATTAAATCACAGCTAACCAAAATAAATCAGGACATAACGAAAGGATGACGATCTGCGTTTTGGTCTTGAGTTCAAATATCAACAGAATCAATGACCTAACCTTGGATTTCCTGCTAAATAAAGGACCAGTGCTTCTACGTATTTATTTTCTGAGTAACTCTGAGAGTCAAACACTGGATGGACGTCAGAGCTGCAGCTCATCGACTGACACACAACATCTGAGATAAGAACATGAGTGGCAGCGGAGCGCTGGGACCACATTTGAGTGTGCAAATGAAGCGCAGCACGGAGAGAGATAACAACGGAGCCCGAACAATTACGGTACAAACAGAGCGAACGATAGGAGACAGATACAGGACTCGGTCTGAAATTACTCAAATGAGAAGCACAGAGACGATAAAGCGAATGAAAATGTGAGCGATTGAAAAGCTGATTGAAGCAAGAGGATGGAAATAAAGATGCTAATAGAAGGAGATGAAGATACAGAAGAGAATGAATAACAAGGGAAGTTCAACCTGGGGCCAGATACATACAGTATATTCGGGCACATGTGAACTGTGCACCACCACAGCGCCGAGATGATCTGCATATCGCTGTGTTACACATGTCTCCATTATCCTCCGTCATAAATAAATCACTACAGGGTTTCTACCCGATGAGGAGAAAGCCTGGGGACACACGGCCTTTAATAATGGATGATGCCCTGTCTCCTTGACGGAAGATTAGTGGATTAAAAAACAGTATGTGAGTGAGTGTGAGTGTGTGAGAGTGTGTGTGAGTGTGTGTTTATTGATGGGAAGTCTGGGAGAAACTAAAGAGCGATAGCCTTCTAATTAACTTCATTATCTATCTGGCCATCGCTAATGGGAAATGTGCAACTGATTAAACTGCAGAGTTGTTGAGAAAAGGAGGAAGAAATGGAAGGAGGGTGGAGGAGGTGGAGACACTGACGGTTGGAGATGAGAGAAGAAGAGTAGAAGAGCTAAGCACGGAGGGATAAAACAGAGAGAGGAGAGTAAACCAGACAGGGAATGAAGAGAGGACAGAGGTGGACATGGAGCAACGAGAGGAGATGGAGGATGTAAGAAAAGACGAGAGGGAGACAGCAGATATCAGAGAGGAGGAGGAGGAGGAGATGAGATATGTACCAGGAGGTCAGGACGAGAGGGGAAAGAGGAAAAGAACAAATGTGAGGTAATGCATAAGAAAGGAGAGAGACGTGGGGGTGATGAGAGAAAGCGAAGAAAGCGGAGGAGGGACACAGGAGGAAGAGGAGGAGAGGGAAGAAGGTTTTACCTTGACAGTCATCTCGGTGACAAATATGGCAGTGAAGATGTAGTTGGAGATGGTGAGAAACAGTCTTTCCTGTAAGAGAAGGAGAAAAGACAAAAACTGAGAGGAAGGAAAAAAGAAGGAGAACAAAAAATAACCGACTCCGTTTGGCTTCGGCAACTTTTGAAAAGTACAATCAGTTCCGCTCAGAAAAAGTTTACTGACGCCAGTTGTTCATGTTTTTGCAATTAGAATAAAACCAGAGCTAGTTGCCAAAATCAGAGTTTCGAAGGAGCCGATGTTCTAATAAAACATGAACGCTTCAGGTCGACTGCTTGAAAAGTGGCCGTCAGTCAAGACTCTCTTTGGGAAAGTTGCCTTTTGCCCAAATGAAGAGGAAAGTGCTGGGATGAAAACAGGAACATCGAAGTTGATTATTTAAATTACAAACAATTAAAATAACGGGTCAGTAAAAAAGTTGGTATTTAAGGTACATGGTACGTACCAGGCTGCCCTGCAGAATCCTCGGCCTCTCCAGAGCCACTGTGATGCAGTTGAGAAAGATGAACGCCAGGACCACGTAGTCGAAGAGCTTGTGAGCGATGATGGACTGACAGAGCAGCCTGAACCTGAACGAGGGACAAACAGAGGTGTTCATTGTAATAACAGACACTCGTGATGAGGCGTGAATGACTCTGAGGTGGAGCTGCTCTTAGCGAACAGACGTCCACGACCAGATCTGAGACGTCCCGAAGACACTTTGACGTCGTCGGACACCAGCAGTGCAGTCGTCAGATCTGGAGCCAGTAAGAACAGAAAGCAGCTCCTGAACAAAGCCCCTCACTGACCTCCGCTCACCTCATCTAAAGAGAGGAGAATACACCTCCTGCAGCACCTCTGGCTGAGGGAATCAATGTGCTAATCCGACTCCTTTTCCTCCAGACCCGGCAACTCTGTCCCTTTATCTATCGATTCAAATCTGGCAACCCTGTCACCTGATATCGATCGCGACCCGCGGCCGCTCTGGCATCGGCAATTATTTTCGCCTGAGACACAACTTCTGGTTTCTGATTGTTTCTCCTTTTGTTTGTTTGTCTGCTTTAATTCTGCTTATCTGCACTCGTTAGGGCGAACGCACACACACACACACACACATATGCCTCCGTGCACTCGCAGACACAAACTGCCGCCGAGGCTAAAGATGCACATATGCTCACTGACTCCCACAAGCACGGGCAGTATGCGAAGTCATCCACAAGCACACGTAACTGCAGATCAGGCCTAACACTGGAGCGTTCACTGCCAACATGCACGCAAACACACACACACACACACACACGGCCCCGGTTTGACAGATGGCACCTGCCAGGATGCCAAGACACAGCCCTGGGGCCTGGCTTCACTTAAGTGGCTATCAGCACGCAGGGAATCGGGGCCTGTGAACGAGTGGATGACTGAGTGAGTTTTCTTTCTCTTCCAGCGATGGATCGAGGGCTGGTGGAAAACATCGTGACACTGACGAACACAGATGAACACACACGCACTTGGAGCCCGGAGTCAATGTCTTGGAGAAGAAAAATGCTTTGAAGGAAATATAGAGCGACATCACTTTAACGAGCGGCGGAAGACAGCACCGGTTTGACTGTGCAGCTCTACGTTCCTCCACATTATCAGGGCATCTTCTTTCCACACTTGGATTCTCTGCACTTTGCAGAACAGAGGCTCGGTGGGAACACTTTGCCGAAGCAAACGATTACAACAAACACTAGAGATGAAAAACTGTGATTTCACGACGACAGTGACCAAATGAATCAATGCACGGTTAAAAGTATCATTGCGGTATTGTTCAGTTAATATATTAATTAGAAGTGGAAATATTCTGGGATCATATAACCCTAAAATAATAATAATAATATTATAACAATACTCCCTCTGTGTCCATTTATCTATGATTGATTCTCCAAACATGATGAACTAATTATGTATTTTATTTGGTTCAGTTAAACTAGCTCCTCAAATTCATTTATTTAACAACAACACTCTTCTGCATGGTAAATGCTGCTTGAGATATTTAGATCTGGTTTACAAAGTTAAAATGTTCCTGAAGTAGACAGAAGTTCCACTTTGATTCCATGTGTCTAGGAAATCAGGCCCCTGAACCACAAGTTCACCCAAAGATCGGACGCACTCACTTGTTGTGGGGGGAGAACATGTAGACGGACCACTCCTCTCTGGTTTCACACCAGTCGGGCTTATAGACCTCCATCATCTTCTGGACACGGAAGCAAAGACTCTGGAGGGAGATGAGAGGGCTGTTAGAGGTGTGTGTTAAAATATGAGATCAGAAAACTAATCAAGAAGTGATTATTATCAGGCTACGAGTTCCACGTGGGTCAAACACCAGGACTATAGTACTTATACTCAAAGACAGAGTGAGTGACTAAAGGAGAAATCAATGACGGGTGTAGATTTGTTGCGGCTCACATAGTCCGTCTCTTCATCCAGATCTGTTCTGTCTTTTCGTGCGTTGACTTGAGGGTAAACCTCAGTCATCAGATGGGCGTGGGGACCCGGAGTCTTTCCGTTACAGTCTCGGTGGTCCGTTCCAAAACCACTACCGGCTCCGGACCCTCCTGCGATGGAACCCCCTGCCCCGGACCCACTCCTCCTCCCGGGGTCTACGTGGACAGGGGGCAGGCACGGGGGCTGTCCGCCCGCCAGAAGAGCGTCAGGCAGCTCCAGGGAGAGAGCCCGTCGATCCCTCTTTGCAGAAAAGTGTCTGGAGAGGAACAGCGGAGGCGGGTGATGCGGCAGGAGAGGATGATGGGAGTGGGGTGGGTGGGAGAGCAGGGACTCCTGCTCGGCGGCATAGGTGTAGGAGTGGGGGGAGCGGGTGCTGTGCAGACGGAGGCTGCCTCCGACCAGAGGAGCTCCACCAAACCTGTAGCTCCTCCGACCGAGACTGTTGGAGCTGGATCTACAGAGGAGATTAAAAGTATAATTTAGAATTTGATTAAATATTCATGAATAACGGATCAATGAAGAGACAATCAACAGTATTTTACATGTTTAGCGTTAAGTCATGAAGGTGATCACATCATAAAACAACAGCGAGGGCTCGATGCTTTCATGTGGCTAATAAAAAGGCTTAATGAAGGTGTTAAGAATTCATTAAGGCGGGAGCTGGAATCAGTGGCGGACAGTAAACTTAATTCTCTACCTGCGGCTCCACGCAGACTGTGGAGGGAAAGGGCGCCCCCAGTTGTGGTAGTTGGAACTGCGGCCGTGGCGCTGCAAGAGTCACAAAGCAGTTCAGAGTTAAAAGTGATGTAAGAGTTTGATATGGACAGTTAATAGTTATCGATACAAACATGTTTCCTTTATTTGTTTATTTCCTTTTGTAAGTTTTTTAATTGTTTTTGATTTACTCTTATGTGCCTTGAGTTTTTGTCTTCTTTTAGTGGTGTAACGTCTTTGGCTTCTCCTGCAGGGGTTCTTCTTTACTTCTGAATTTTTCTTAATGTGAGTAAATGTAGGCGTAAGTGTTTCTATGTACAAGTAAGCATGTGAATCTTTTTATAGAAGCTCAACCGTCTCGTATCCCGGTCTTTTTCAATCTGTTCAACCTGTTTTTAAATGTGGGCGAGTAAATGACTGGTACTTACAAAAACTTTTCACCTCTCAGCAAAAACCCAGAATAACATTTTTTTTTTTTGCTTTTTATTTATGGAGATAAAAACTTCTACTGGACATTTAATGGACGGTCACATCAGCCCCAAAGGTTTTCATTGCAGCCACTGATTCTGTGTCACGGCTGCCAGCGGAAACAATCTACTGAACCGATGCCAAACTTATTTCTTAATTTACACGCCCACATTTTTAAACATAGGGCCGAGCAGTCTTCATACAGGCAGTGAATGCACCATGGACAGAATCTGTGAATAGGAAATATAAACTGGGCTTTTCAAAAAATGAGACTGCCGTGCACTCAGGGGGTTGACGTCAAGTTTAACATGCAAACCCGTGAGTGGCAGTTCCACTTAAAGGAACATAAACAGCTCTGTTTGTTTCCACATGTCTGATCCTTTCAACACCACGGAGCTAATTATATGTTTTACTCTTGGAAACACACGTCACCACTCAAAGCCTGAGCCGCTGCCATGTATCAGAGAATGTATGGAGCCGTCTCTATAGAAACTGTAATGAAGTGTGCACGCTGGATGTCAAATAACACTTGGGTCCGCACAGACAGGAGCGCACTGCAGATCATTTGTTCCTCAGTAAAAATGAGACAGAGCGTCCAGAGAGACTCAAATACTGTCCAAACATACAGAAGGTACTGCAACTTTCTCTTTATCAACCACATCACACTATGAATACATGAAGCAAATATCTCCAGATAAAATGTTGAGTAAGATTGTTAAGAAATTTAACCATGAAGACTTTTCCTTTATTTTGAAATAATCTGTTAATATATATT